TTTAATACTTACTTCAAGGCCAGCAGTATCTTCATGCTTTCTCACTTATGGTCATCATTCATTTTAGCAACTCCCCTGTGGTTGCCCAAATCGAAATTCTTTATTCAGAAAACAAAAACATCCCACGATTCTCTAAGTTCTTTGATACACAGTAGGTGATAAAACTGTAGTCAACTGTTAAGAAAATAGGACGGTAATGTGATTGTATCCTCTATTCTTGATTGCAAACCTTCTGAAGGGTGATTTTCTCCTTATTCTGAATTTTTTTTTTTAAAGTAAGCCTATGAGAAACACTCCCAAATTATTTTCTTTGCTTATGTTATGTTTACGGTTAGCCAGCTGTTACAGACTAAATGCTTGTGTCCCTCCCCAGTTCACATGTCAAAATCCTAATCCTCAAAATGATGGTGGTAGGAGGTATGGCCTTTAAGAGGTGACTAGGTCATGAGGGTGGATTTAGTGGCCCAGAGGGCTCCCTCAGCCCCTCTGCCATTCGAGGGCTCAGCTGAAGGAAGTAGTTTATCTATGAACCAGGAAATGGATCCTCATCAGACTCTGAATCTGCCAGTGTCTTTTTTCTTAATTTTTTAAAAAATGTTTTTATTTATTATTGAGAGACAGAGAGATACAGAACATGAGCAGGGGAGGGGCCGAGAGATGGAGAGACACAGAATCGGAAGCAGGCTCCAGGCTCCGAGCTGTCAGCGCAGCGCCCGAGGCGGGGCTCGAACTCACAAACTGCGAGATCATGACCTGAGCCGAAGTCGGACGCTTAACCGACTGAGCCACCCAGGCGCCCCTGAGTCTGCCGTTGTCTTGATCTTGGACTTCCTAGTCTCCAGAACAGTGAGAAATAACATTTGTTGTTTAAGCCATCCAGTCTATGGTATTTTTTTGTATACCAGCCCTAATGGGCTAAGGCACCATTCTTATTTTTGTGTGTGGAGTTTGGCCATCTACTATTATGCTATTGTCATGGTGAGGCTTTCTGAACCTCTCCCCCACAGTGGGCTGGCCTCCTTTTGAATATTCTTCCCCTTTTATTATGGGTGCATATCCTTGGTTCATTTACTCTACTGCGCATGTTTATGCGTATTTCCTCATTTTTGCAGCTTCAGATTTGCGAAGTTTCCAAAACATGTTTCCTCTTCCATTCTCACCTTCTGTTTTATGATCTTTGTGTCTGCGTGCTTCTTTATCTTGGCTTTATCTCCTTCCGTGATAAGGAGAAACGTTAAATAGAAAATATTAGTATTGGCTGTTTGTGGAAGAACTTTACGGTGCACGAGAGGAGAGATTTTGGTTTTCTAAATACTATGAGACATTCCAAATAGAGCCTGAAATCCTTAAAGCTTGAGTCAGCTTCCAGACCTCTGGTCAATAAATCTTACCAGTGTGAAATGAAAATTGAATCACATTTGTGTGTTTGCTGTTGCCTTAGGATAACGAAACTATTGTTTTATGACTCTTACGCCATTGTAATAAAAAACTCTTCAACTTCAAGACTCTTGAATTGGAAGACTGTCATGGTACCTTGGCCATTATCCATATGTATCAGTGCCGGTGGAATCTGACCCCTGGTTGAAGGAAGAGGGCACTATATGTTTTTCTCTGATAAAAAGGCCAGGTTTGTGGCGAAATTAGCCTAATATCTTGCTTCTGCAAAACCTTTGGAGTTCCGTATTTTCATGGAAGAATGTCACACACACACAGACTAGCTATCTTTCACCCAAATTCTTAATAAACCTAATTTCCAAAGCCATTGTTTTAAATCTCCCATTGCTTATTTTACCTACAGTACATACAAAAGAAATCACTTAACCAAAACAATAAAGAAAAGCAATGTCTGTGCCTCTTTTTAGATTGGCATGTGCTTTTAGTAAGTTGATTCCTCTGGGCTCTCAGTTATGTTTTTCATAGCTCTAATAGGAGCTTCCTAAAAACTCTTTTATTGTATCAGGTATAAGGTAGATAACAAGGTTTGATAGCCCTCGAGGAACGTGCATTAAGTAATGCAGCTGGAGAGGGAAATGGAAAGAATCGATAAAGGCATGAGGAGAAACCGTAAGAACAAGATAGATTATGTTTACCACAAGGTTCCTCCTTCTAAACTCTCCCCTGTTCTCTCCAACCCACACAGATTTAGGGCAAATACATCACTTTCTTCTCTTGCTATATTTGACAGTGGCTACAGGTTCTCTTTGAAGGTCAGGTTTGAGCAGTCGAACAGGCATGAATACACTTGGTTTTTAAAAGCCAAAATTCGAGAACGCTGTTCAACAACACTCTTGAACTGTCAGTCCTGGGATTATGACGTACAAATTATATAAACATAAACACATTACAGCATACGAGACAGCATGTTTAAAAATATTGTTCATCATTGTCTTTTCCTAGTGGTTTTCCCCCAAAATATTTTAAGATGGTTTTGGTTAACTCTGCACATCAGAAGGTGAAGGTCAATTTGATAGTGTAACAAAGGATAAAAGTTTTTTTTTTTTTTAATTCTAAGCAAGTTTATAGGAGTTTTACATTTAACTTTTAGAATTTACTAATAGATTAAAATAATAATTTATAAAGCACTGACTTGTTTAAAATTTTTTTTATTTTTACATTTATTTATTCTTGAGAGACAGACAGAGCACAAGTGGGGGAGGGGCAGAGAGAAAATGAGACACAGGATTGGAAGCAGGCTTCGGGTTCCGAGCTGTCAGCACAGAGCCAGATGAGGGGCTCAAACTCATAAACCGTGAGAGCATGACCTGAGCTGAAGTCGGACGCCCAACCTACTGAACCACCCAGGTGCCTCAGCACTGATTTGTTTCAATGGCTAAAAACCAGTCACGGCTGCCAGTCTGGGGGTACAATTGGTGCCCTTGACTTACATATTTAACTGGAAATGCCCTAAGTATTCTGAGCCATGTCTTCAGCTCGGCAAAGGACAGATGTCCAGGGTCACTATTGCTTGGGGAGAGCAATTGTTTTTGTCACTCCTCTCCTTTCATGCCTGGCATGCCTTGAACGTAGTGGATGGTGAGAGTTGTTAAAATTTATGGAGGCTTACTAAGTGACAGGCAATGTAGTAAGCCCTGGGCACACATGAACTCACTCAGTCAATATTTGCTGAGTATCGAGGGAGTAAAGAAATGAATGGGCAGGGCATCCAACACACAGAAAAGGCTCTTCTCCTCAGCTGATTAAGTGGACTTAGATATTTTTAGGGATTTCATTATTTTTTCTTCATGAGTGAATTTTGACGATATGCCTGACTTCCTCTTGACATTAAATATTTAAATTGAGCTGCTAATGTTAAGAAGTGCGATGTTCTCAAGTATTTGATATTTAATGCTTTAATAACTTCAGAGTGTTCTACAATCCAAGTAGAGGTCTTGGCAGCTTCTCTCGGCAGCTTCTCTTTGTCTCTTTGAACATCGAGAGAATAAATAAACACGATCTGTAGCCACACTGTAATATGAATTAATTCAAGAACTTTTTAAAAATTTCCATTCAACCTAATATCACTATTATCTGGAGAACACATTAATGATTTGTAATTTTCTGATGATTCAACTTCTTTAAAGTTTGACGTTCTCATACATCGTTAGACTGCACGTGCCACTTATAAAATATTAATTATTTATAGTACCCAAGAATTATATCTGCTTTATTCTTTTATTATAAACACTGTCCTAAATCAATCAACCTAGGGTAATTACTTTACATACTCAACCCAGTTGAGCAAAAATGGCAACCTATTATGGATTTTTATAGCACATGTATAAGTCTTACTAATGTATCGTATGATCATTCAAGATACAACAAAGGGCGTGCTACTAAAATACTCTGATTCATAGCCAGCCCCATGTTTCTGATTACAAATAATTAAATATACTTAGAAACACACACTCAAGCATCCACCTACTGAGTTTGTGGGGTTTGTATCTAGTTTCTCTGTTGGTTTCTCTAGAATTCAGTGTTCTTCAAAACAGGAATGATGTCTTTTGAATGTCCCAATTAGTGATAAGAAGAGCACACAGTGAGTGAATGTTATGTTACTATTTTCTTTTCTTTTGCTTTTTTTTTTTTTTTGACATAGAAGGATGTTTATGAAATTCTTTACATGGTTTGATTTGTTAGGCTTTTGTAACATATTCGGCCGACTTATTTAGTCTTGACTTACAGGCAAAATAAAATGGAGAATTTATATATTCTAAATAAAGTCTTCTTTTAGGGGGATAGACTCATTATTAACTGTTAAGCTAACCATATGCTATATTTACCATCTTTGTAAACTTGTATTCAGCTGTATGTCTTGAAATATTGAGAGCATCCGTTATTTCTGTGAAAACATTTATACTCTATCATTGGTTTGCCAATCGGATTAAATTTCTAAAAATTTCTTATTTAAAAAAAATTTCTAAGTTTATTTATTTATTTATTTTGTGTAAGACAGAGAGTGTGGGAGAGGGGCACAGAGAGAGGGGGACAGAAGATCCAAGCGGGCTCTGCGCTGACAGCAGTGAGCCCGATGCGGGGCTTGAACTCACGAACTGCGAGATCATGACCTGAGCCGAAGTCGGACGCTTAACTGAGCCACCCAGGCGCCCCCAACATTTCTTCTTCTTCTTCTTTTTTTTATTTTAGAAACTGTCTAGGGGGATTACATAGCTCAGTAAAAATGAGATTTTGTTAAAAGGTTATGGGAAATTTTTGTTTTGTACTCGTGTTGTTTGCATGGAGCATCTGCAGTCGTGTAACACAAATATTTCTAGAACATGTTTTCACCGCGTGTTAAACTGATTCCCTCTGTCTGTGCTTAGTGGCCGAAATGTGTGGTAATCTAGAGATCACTATTAACATTACTACCCCAATTGCACAAGACACTGGACATGGCATTTTGTTTCAGAGGATTCTAGCAGAGCATGACGTCACTTGAGGACTTGGGAGGGGTATTTTGAGACTCGCTTTGAGGCATCTGTGTGTGTGTGTTTAATGTGCAGCACCTGTCCTTCCTGGAGCCTATCAGCAAAGCCATTCTCAAGGCTATGGGTACATGCACCAGACCAGCCTGTCATCCGTGAGGTCAATGCAGCACTCACCAAATCTAGTAAGTATCAGTTTGAAGTGTTTGTTCTTCCCTGTTCTTCCCGTTTTGTCTCCAAAATAGAAATACATATGGAATTGATTTGCATGGAATATTTTCCATTTTCACATAAAGGGTAAATGCTGACCTTGCTGTTTGTACCCTTTCGAAGAAAGCAAAAGACTTACAGAGGTAAACCACTGAGAAAGGAAAGCATGATGTGGAAACATGTAACCAGTAAAACATAGAAAGACTCTACCAGAACGATATCCTGATTGTGACCTCATGATGGGCATTAGCCAACTGTCATCTTCCTTCAGGTCGAGAAAGCACAAATATGAGGTCACATTAATCCAAATGGCCAGCAATCCAAATGGCCACTACAGCCCAAATGACATGGCCAGCGTATGTCTTCGAAACCTCCCATTGGAAATCTTGAAGTACTTCCTGATTGCTTCGCTAAATGTGAAGTTTGGAAGCACTGTTCAAGGTCATCTAGTCACATGGGCATCTTGTGCTAAATTCTCTCCACCCTCCGGACACAGTAGCTTAACCTTAGCCCTCAGCAACAAGCGGTCCTTCTAAGCAGTTGGAATTCAGCTTTACCAGCTCTGACCTTCTTTGTGTCTCAGCCAGTTTCCTCAGTCCCTGAATTCACTGAATTTTGAGATTTTCCAACGTTCACATTAACTAAATTCTTGGTCTGTAATGAAAACAAAGGTGGTGAAACTAAATTTATATTCTGGATACGAACCACACAGAAGACGTGTGATGTGCAGAGATTTTCTCCCAGTTGGTACGTTCCTTTTTGTTTTGTTGGTGGTTTTCTTTGCTGCACAGGAACGTTTTAGTTTGATGTGGTCCCACACGGTTATTTTTGCTTTTGGTATCAATTCCAGATAACCATTTCCAAGACCAAGGTCAAGAAGCTTCCTGCCTGTGGTTTTTTTTTTTTTTTTCCCTAAGAGTTTTATGCTTTTAAGTCTAACATTCAAGTCTTTAACGTATTTTGGGTTAATTTTTGTGTATGGTGTAAGAGAGTGGCCCAGTTTCATTCTTTCACATGTTGTTGTCCACTTTTCCCAGCACCATTTACTGAAGAGGCTGTCCTTTCCCGTTATGTATTCTTGGCCCCTTCATCATAAATTAATTGACCATATATGCATGGGTTTATTGCTGGGGTCCCTGTTCTGGTCCATCGATCTATGTGTTTATGTCAATACCACAGTGTTTTGATTACTATAGCTTTGTAATATAGTTTAAAGTTAGAAAGTGAAAATTTTCCCTATTATGTTATGCGTACCTCAATATTCAGAACACTTGTGTACTAAATTTCTGTCACCGGGATTCAGAAACCTACAAAGTAAGTATATTCTGTGTTTTTCTTTTATTTGTGTTACGTGTTTTTAAGAGGAAGCAAAAATCCTTTGTATCTGTTTAAGAAAAATTCATTTCCTCTCCCTGACGGGGATGGGGGACAGCAACAGTGACGTGGCTCTGTCTCCACTAGGAGAGCTTTTCTCTGAAGAATGTGGAAGAGGGGAGAATCTCCATGACCTGAGGTCTCTGGGGTTATCTGTAGCTGGGGAAGGTGGCTTTACTGCTTCAAAGCTTACTTTGTTGATGGGCTGGTGATTGTAGCCAGGGCCTTTCTCTGTCCCCATTCTGGGCCCCCAAACATTACCCTTTTTGCTAGACTGGTAAACTGGAGCCGGACACAACTGGGACAGACGCTAGGCTCAGGTGTGCACATCTCCAGAAATAAGTCCTATACTGGGGAACATTCCTCGTAGTTACCTTACCGCATGGGGGCTGGCTTGCCGTGATTGGCATTTGTGGCCGTAACTAGTTCGTATCCGTCACGTGACCCGCTCTTTCCTTTCTCAGAGGACCTACCGAGCCATGTACGATTACAGCGCCCAGGACGAAGACGAAGTCTCCTTCAGGGACGGCGACTACATCGTCAACGTGCAGCCCATTGACGACGGCTGGATGTACGGCACGGTGCAGAGAACTGGGAAAACGGGGATGCTCCCGGCGAATTACATCGAGTTTGTTAATTAATTATCTCCCCTTGTCTTTGAGCTTTATTCTAATGTATACTAGACCTAATCTTTTTAAAGGCTAGAAGATACTTTTAAGACAACTTGGCAGTTATTTTACAATAATCTCTCTCTACTTTGACAATTAGACACGCAGGTACCAGGAAGAGGGAATGACTTCTGGGCTGAAAACAGCAGCATTTTCAGGAATTGCTGTAAACAAAATCGTTAGGTCTGGAGACCCTGGTGCTGCTAACTGTGTTAATGGTTTCCTTTGACTGGCTTTCGAACACTGCTGGGAAATGTATTTTTGTAGACTTTAATAGAGATGTTGAGTGTCCCTTAAATGTAACAAGTCTCTGAAACTTCTTAGCTGTCACTTTGGAACCACCAGAAGCTGATTCTCTTAATTCAGTAACACGGCCAATGGTTTAAAAACAGTTAGCTTTTGAGTCATTGGGGAATTTCCAATTCAAGTGAAAATTGCCCAATATAATAAACCTAAGCAGTGGCAGAATGACAGTTTGGTTACAATTATACTGACTGGTGGCCTTAGGGACCTAGAAACTTCTACCGAACAGACATTTCCTTGTTCCCTAGGCTGACTTGGGTCTATTTATTTCTCATTTGTATCAAGGGATACCCTTCTCTCCACTTACATCCTGTGGGCCCGAGTCTACGCTTGACTGCACAGAATGTCAGGACCAAATGATGTCACAGCTACTCCGCAAAGGGCAAAGTTTAAAGTCATCGCTGTTCTTTCCCTAGTAGCTTTTACCCTGCTGCATGTCACGTAGGTTCAAGCTCTGTAACATAGGCAGCCGCACTGCCCGTCCCTGTTATGAAAACAAAAACCGTGGCTGATAACCTCACAGCCCCTCCCTCTAGCGGCCAGCTCATCAGAAAAACATCTTTTGAAAAGTTGCTTGAGATCCTCTTGCTGTCCTGCACTCTAGTTTCGAAGGATTTACACCTTTAGGAAATAGACGTCTACTCTAGCACATAAGTGGTTTAGGTGTTTACTGAACAACTTTCATTAACTTAATGCCGCCGTTGATTGAAAAGGAAAGAAAACGGACTAGGAGCCAGTGATGACGTGGTGTACTAGAGGCGACACATGAGCAAAAAGTCCCCCCCTCCACACCGAGATGAGCCGGTTTCCTATTTTGGAAAACGGCATTCAGATCTGGGAATGGAAATCTAGCCACCGAAACCGCTTAGACTTGGAAAGACTTCCCTTCCACTTTCTTCCGGTTTTTCTTTTCTAAACCACATTCAGGGGGTAAGGTGAAATTGCCAACCGAGATTTTAGGTATAGGCCCAAGAGGTTGTCCACTGAAAAAAGCAACTGTTGTCCTGTCTTGAATTTGAAATGAGAGACCTTGCAGGCTCTTTCTGGACTCACAGCCATGCTACAGCCCTTGCTGGTGGCTCATGAAGGTTCGCCTGTGGTCCACAGTCTAGATCACTGGAGAAATGAACGTCCATCAGCGACTCTGTGTTTTTCTGATGGGTTCAGACGTGCAAGAGGGTAGTGTTTTTGGAGGTCTGGCTCTACAGACTCACTCTACAGTGATGAAGCTGGAAAAGCCAAGTCACAGAAATATGGTAAAATGTATGGATCTTGGGGATATCTCCCTTCTATAGTATATGCAAAGAAATTAACAAAACATCCTATAAAGTACCTTTTTTTTTTTGAAGTGTTTAGGAGTCCAAAACCAAATGCTAACTTATTTATACTTTTTGAAAATTTAGCGCATACTTTTGAAAATCGATAGTTTCATTCGATCCGGCTAAAAGAACAAATAAAACTTTGTTACACTCGAGCTGCATCTGTAAGACATTCACAGAAAAAGAAAAGACAGGAATTTGGGTAAAAAAAAACTAGAGAGTCTTTTTGAGGGGGTTTCACAGATTACTACATAACCAACTGGACTGATTTTTTCTATCAGTGAAATGGTCGGTCATGATTAAATCGACCCCATTCGTGTTTTGATCGTCTCGTAGGCAAACCGACAAAGACAAGCTGAAATTGAAACATTCTTACAAAAATTTCTGTGCATTAAAACCTAGGGCAATGAACTTGCTCGATTTACTTATATTTCCCCCAGACAAGTCCACTTTTTGTGAAGTCGTTGATGACATCTGCAGACTAAGTGTGGGACGGGTACAGTTTTTGAGAAATAGCACATTTGAACAGCAGCAGACTTGACATGATGCTTATAATTTTGAGAAAATACCGCACGGCAGCAGTTTGATGCTCCACGGTCATTCTCATCCACTAATTTCAAAATCAGATTCATGGAATGTAGAAGTCAATAATTATTAGGGGAATAATTCTCCTAAGATTGGAAGCTTCCCATAATGTTTGCACAGCGGGATGTTTCTGCTCCCAGCCTCTAGGAATCAAGGCCTGCTCAGAACTTAACTAGAGAGCAGTTATTCTACCATAAAGACTGAGGGAGACCGAGATGTCACGTGCTCCCGCCACCATAACTTGATAATATCACTGTTATTAAAACTTGTCAGGATATTGAGCATCTCGGCAGAAATACAGGAAACATACATGTATAATACCAAAGTGCTATTTTTACAGGATCATTTTTCAAAACTACATTCTCGAAACAGGGGTTCCACTTTGCACACGCCTCCCCCCTTCAATTTGGCGACCCGTATCTCATACATAACGCTGGCGGCGAAAGAAGGGTTGGAAAAAAAATCCGTCTTTTACAAATCAAGTTAAAGGAGACTGGGAAATGTTCAAACACAGGGAGCATGCACTTGATTTTCTGAATCTGATGCATTCTCAAGCCTGATAAAAAGCACAAAGGAGCAGGTTGACACGTGCTAAGGTTCCCAAAACACAACTCCACGTGGATCCTGTCTCTCTTGAGAAAAGCAGAGCCAACAGGATAGAGGACCTCTGTTGTCAGTTTTTGTAGCAAGCGTTTTTACTAATTCTCGTTCTCTAGGGAGGATTTCTATTTCTCACCTGTGGCAAAACAAATTTCTTCACACCTTCTTGTCCTCGTTTACGCATCCGCAGCGTAGCCCAGTTTAAAATTTGTATCTGGTTGTCAGATCCCCGCGTGGTCCCTGCCTGTTCCTCAGGCTTCCCCCACCTCCAGAGACCACACAGGAATTTGCCAGCACAATTTCTCCGGGCACCTTGTGTGAACATGGATGAGGTTGGACTGGCCCCTCTCTTGCCAAAGAGCTTGGTTCTTTGCTCGAAGATGATGCAGATGTGGTGTTGGCAGGCCGCCCGCGGTCTTTCTCCCCTGTCATCTCCCCGTCGGGCTTGATGACGCTGCCGGAGGGTGGGAACCAGACTTTTCTCGAACAGTGAAGTTCAGGAGGTACATACATCTCTTTTTCAGGTGCGTCCATGTGCAGCGAAATGTTTTTAATGAAAAGATAAAGAAAACGTGTGTGATCCTTTAATAACACATCCCCTATATAAAGTGGATGGAGTTTATACCAAAATTATAATATAGATATATTTTAAAAAGGTGCCTTTTTGATTGCCCTTGTTAATCCATGATGGTCTTGGAAAGAAAACCAAGCAAGCAAGCAAACTTCTATCTATTCTATAGTAATATTTTATTATACACGACTGGTATTTTTGTGGTGGAGGAGTGAGACGCTCCTGACAGATCCGGAAGGTGGTAACCGATTGTATTTTACCTGTAAAGGTTTAGAACTTTAGAAAACACTGACTTTCCCCATCTATTTCTGAAAGGTTCTTTGTGGATTTATATATATAGTCAGGATGCATAAACATTAACTTCAGGCCTGAGACTTAAAATACCTATTGTAAGATAGAAGCATTATGTTATGAGGCTGAATTCATTGCAGAAGATGAGATTCACTTCATAAATGTCATTATACCTTAGCTATTTGCTTCTGATAATCTAAAAGTGGCTAGAGCGTGCATGTTCTGGGTAACGTGACTCCGAGGCGAGAAAGCTTCAGTGAAGCCAGGAACAACGCGAACTCAGTTAAGAATGCTAAAACGGAAGTCTCTTTCTGAAGTATTCCATGGCCCTTGGCAGCTGTCAACTGTTCATTAAAAAAAAAAAAAAAAAAAATCAGGACATTGTATGATGCTTGTGTGGCCGTCGTTTCACGATGTCTAGACCGCTGGAGTCCACAAGCCTGGAAGGATCCCAAGGGCAGACTTCTCCCCAGCTGTCCATATCACTTCAGTATAGCCATGGGATTCAGATGCTTTTTGTGTTTGCTACACGGTGTCCCGTTCGCATAGTACACGCTTCTTTGTAATCCAGTTGCTGTAAAGAATGATTTGCTTTGAAGGTAAAGAGAAAACCGCATCACAGTCCCATTTCTTTGGTGTCCATACAATGAATGGCGGAGCCTTTAGAGGCAGCACCAGACCTGTGGCAGGCGTGGTGTGGACACGTTGGCCTTTGACCTGTGATGGGAATAGAGAACTAAACCAATGTGTAGTTTGGATTCTGTTCGCTTCAAAAATGTGCAGTTGTGGTTGATGATTCATTTGCAAGGTTGTGCTAACTTTGAGAGCAGACGGTTTGGGTGGAAACGATGTTTTTTGAAATGAAGGGGCTTATAGAATGATATGATGTTATGAACATAATTTGGCTTTTGTTATGCAAATTAACACCAGCTATTAAAATATATTTTAGTAGAAATGCTTTAATTCATGTTTTTTTCCTCTACACTGTGAATCTTTAAGCCTTGGTGGACTAGAGCAACATCGTGCTGCCCAAAGGACTAACCTATGCAAACTAGTTCACATTTTAGTGGATGTCACAGTAATTGTGTACTAAGACATTATTTCCCCCGGGATAATGTACAACGGCACTGAAATAACACCTTAAGCCGAGCATCATGTATGTTTAGTATAGTCACTCACAAACCCTTCAAGGCTACTATAATCATTAGTAGTGGTATTTGTTGAAAAAGCAAATCGCCGATTGATCTATTAAATCTCCTTGAACGATGTCAGAACAAGAATGACAGGTGGATGTGTCGGCCATG